TATATTCAGCGCTCCCACCCAGATTTCAAGATCTTCATATTACAGTCGATCACCCAAAAGAAAGAGGAAGAGTAAGCAGCCTTATCTGACTCCCTTACTCACTTGAAATGCGTCTGTCAGTTGGCCTCCATGCGCCACCGTGCAATATAGTCCGTCGTATGAATTCCGGACGATATTGAAGATCGTCTCAGCTACTCACTCCATAGAGTCTAATAAGGTCTTGATAATTGTTTCTTGGAGTTGGAGGACAGAGTTCGTAAGATGAATTCCAATGTTTACCAGTATTGTGTAATCACGCAATGGTTCTTGAAAATCCTAACATGAATACTGTGGAGTGATTCTGTGATTGTGGGAATAAAACTGGTGCATTTATCAAGCAAACAACATTGTTTATTTCACTTGGTATTATTTGCTTGTATCTTCCCATTGTTGTATAGGATTGCAATTGGTCAGTTTCTTGTTGTCATATGTGCATCCTGTGACGACTGCATCGATATTGCCTGAAGTCACAAGCTTTATAAACAAAGACAGATGGTGGCAAACAGTGGAAGCCAAGATACGCATTTAGACCTATTTATGACTCATCAGCTGTATGAACCTGCATTTCAGTTGATGATCACCCTGGAACTCGAACCCAGTACCGTTCACATCAAAGAAGGTTATATTGAACCTTTGTAATTTTATTTCTCAAGTTGTCCAGCGTTTCATTCGCGATTCGTTGAGTGTTTGTAGCATTTTCCTCTTTTAGACCGGAATACAGCATCATTCGCTGTCCAACTCGAGTTCAATGGCTTTCAGTGATTCTGAGTACTGTTGTGTTGTTTCGCCATTTTTCTGTTGCTTGTTGGTTGGCCCTTGCGCTCTCCCATATTATCTCGAAATTTCATGCACCTATATTACTTGTTGCTGTAGTTATTAGAAGGGACATCTGCCTCGTGATTTCCGACAAATCTCGACTTTCATCATGAGGCTTGATAATTGTCTCTTGAAGTTGGAGGACAGAGTTAAAATGGTTTAATTTGTTTAATTTGGTTAGAGATTTTTAGCAACTCTACCCCCTTGTGTGAGCTTGTTACTGGCAGTAACTCTATAAGAGATACAAGTGGAGTTAGTTTTTCGATATGGTATAGGGAGATTATATGGGTTTCAGGAAAGCGTTTATAAGAATTCGAAAGTGGTTGACAAACTGTGATACTCTCATGATTTACAGTTTAGTCATACTGAGTTCATCATTTTTACAGATGAGCATGCATATATTAATGTCACTGTAACTCATAAACGTCTAACAACTCGAAGTAAACGAACGACACGACAAACGTATTTTATTCGAATGATACACTTTTAAATAAGTGAACGAGAACTGGGTGGGATAACCGATTTACTGTTCAATGCGAAATCTCACAGTGCACTGGTTAGATGTGAAGTTCATACATTAAATACATCATTTACACACTTGTTTAAGTTGTCTCTTACAAACTTCATCGTTCCTACATTCCTGTTGTTATTGTGATTACTTTCAGTTTTCTTCCCTCTTCTCTTCATTTCAATCTTCTTCTGGAAGGCATTTCACATCAGACTGCAGTTTTACACTTTGTATACCTGTCAGCATAATTAGCAATTCATGAGTTCAGTTTACCAGTATTATGTAATCACGCGATGGCTTTTGAAAATCCTAACATGAATACTGTGGAGTGATTCTGTGATTGTGTGAATCAGCATGCAATCTCAGACACGATATTTCACCACAACTTACTTACTTACGCCTGTTACTCCTCGTGAAAGAGCATAGGCCGCTCACCAGCATTCTCCATCCAACCCTGTCCTGGGCAATCCTTTCCAGCTCCTCCCAGTTGTAATTCATCCTTGTCATATCTGCTTCTATTATCCGACGTAATGTGTTCTTTGGCCTTCCTCTTTTCCGCTTCCCTTCAGGATTCCAAGTTAGGGCTTGTCTCGTGATACAGTTTGACGATTTGCTTAATGTATGTCCTATCCATTTCCATCGTCTTTTCCTTATTTCCTCTTCAGCTGGAAGTTGGTTTGTTCGCTCCCACAGAAGGCTATTGCTGATGGTATCTGGCCAATGGATGTTGAGTATCTTGCGTAGACAGCTATTTATAAATACTTGTACTTTCTTGATTGTGGTTGTTGTAGTTCTCCAAGTTTCAGCTTCATACAGTAGAACTGCCTTGACGTTGGTATTGAAGATTCTCACTTTGATATTGGTTGAAAGTTGTTTTGAGTTCCATATGTTCGTCAATTGTAGGAATGCGGCCCTTGCTTTGCCAATCCTCGCCTTTACGTCTGCATCTGAACCTCCTTGTCCATCGACGATGCTTCCTAGGTATATGAAGGATTCTACATCTTCCAAGGTTTCGCCATCAAGAGTGATTGGATTGCTGTTCTCCGCTTTGAATTTGAGGACCTTGGTTTTCCCTTTGTGTATACTGAGGCCTACTGATGCAGAGACTGCTGCTACACTGGCTGTCTTCATCTGCATCTGTTCGTGTGTATGTGATAGGAGGGCTAGGTCATCTGCGAAGTTCAAATCGTCTAATTGGTTCTGAGCTGTCCATTGTATTCCGTGTTTTCCTTCAGATGTCGAGGTCTTCATAATCCAGTCGACCACCAGAAGAAAGAGAAAGGGAGAGAGTAAACAGCCTTGTCTGACCCCGGTCCTTACTTGAAATGCATCTGTCAGCTGTCCTCCATGCACGACCTTGCACTGTAGTCCGTCGTATGAGTTCCGGATAATATTGACAATCTTCTCAGGAACTCCGTAGTGTCGAAGAATTTTCCATAATGTCCTCCTATCTACACTGTCGAATGCCTTTTCATAATCAATGAAATTGATGTATAGTGACGAGTTCCACTCAACTGATTGTTTGACGATGATCCGTAGTGTTGCAATTTGGTCTGTGCACGACCGATCCTTACGGAATCCAGTTTGTTGATCTCGAAGTTGGGCATCTACTGCATCCTTCATCCGGTTCAGCAAAACTCTGTTGAAGACCTTCCCTGGTATTGACAGTAGTGTTATGCCTCTGTAGTTTTCACATTTGCTCAGATCTCCTTTCTTTGGAATCTTGACGAGGTGCCCTTCTTTCCAGTCCATTGGCACTTGTTCCTCCTCCCAAATCTTTTTGAATAGAGGGTAAAGCATGCTTGTGGTTACTTCGACGTCTGATTTCAGTGCTTCAGCTGGTATGTTGTCAGGTCCTGCTGCTTTCCCGTTCTTGATTTGTCTGACGGCCACTTTAATTTCTTCCGTCGTTGGTGGGTTGACATCTATAGGAAGATCTGTGTGTGCTGCTTCGATGTTCGGTGGATTCATTGGAGCCGGCCTATTCAGGAGTTCCTCGAAGTATTCTACCCATCTGTTTCGCTGTTGTTGAATTTCAGTGATTGGCTTGCCTTCCTTGTCTTTGACCGGCCTCTCTGGTTTACTGTATTTCCCTGCTAGTTTCTTCGTTGTATCGTGAAGCTGTTTCATATTTCCTTCTCTAGCAGCTTTTTCTGCCGTCGTTGCTAATTCTTCCACGTATTTCTTCCTGTCGGCTCTAATGCTGTTTTTCACTTGCTTGTTTGCTTCTATGTATTCAGCTTGTGCTTGGATATTTTCTGCTCGTGTTCGGCTATTGTTAATTGCTGCCTTTTTGTTCTTCCTTTCTTTGATCTTGTCCAGTGTTTCTATAGAGATCCATTCCTTATGTTGGTGTTTCTTTAGGCCCAGAACCTGTTGACAAGTTGAAGTCAATGTTTCTTTGATGCCTTTCCAGTTGTCCTCCATAGTAGTTTCTTCTTCATTCAGTAGATTTTGAAAGGCTAGGAACCTGTTGTTGAGAGCTATCTTGAATTCGTTGAGTTTGTCAGTATCTCGAAGGAAGGTTGTATTGAACCTTTGTCGTGCTGTTTGTCCACTTGTCCAGTTCTTTTTCAGCTTCAGTTTTAAATAGGCTACAACTAGGTGGTGATCTGAAACTATGCCAGCACCTCTCCTGGTTCTCACATCTTCCATTGTCCTTCGGGATTTTTTGTTGATGCAAATATGGTCTATCTGGTTCTCTGTAGTGTGGTCCGGTGAGATCCATGTAGCCTTGTGTATACGCTTGTGTGGAAATATTGTGCCTCCTATGACTAATTTGTTGAATGCACACAAATTTGCAAATCTTTCTCGATTTTCGTTCCTCTCTCCCAGTCCATGTTGTCCCATAATATCTTCATATCCGATGTTGTCTATTTCGACTTTGGCATTTAGATCTCCCATTAGAATGGTGAGGTCCTTTCTTGGGCATTTCTCTATGATTGACTGCAGCCGCTCGTAGAATTGATCTTTAATGTTGTCGTTGCTATCATTGGTGGGTGCATAACATTGGATAATATTCATTAAGATCCCCTCCTTCTTTGTTTTGAATGATACTTTGATGATTCTGGATTCGTGAGATTCCCATCCTACAATTGCATTTCGTGCTACTTTGGAGAGCATTAGAGCAACTCCCTGAGTGTGTGGAGCATTTTCCTCTTCGTGACCGGAGTATAGCAGCATCTCTCCCGTAGCTAGCCTTTTCTGTCCAGCTTGGGTCCAGTGGGTTTCGCTGATTCCCAATACTGCTAAGTTGTATCTCCTCATTTCCATTGCTATTTGGCTGGTCTTCCCGGTTTCCCCTATTGTTCGAACGTTCCATGTACCTATAAAAATTTTTGCTCTGGTTGTTAGAAGGGGCATCGGCCTCGTGGCTTCCGAAGGAACTCGGCTTTCACCATGAAGCGTCATAATTCTTCTAAATGAAGACCTTCTAACTCTCAGGGCAGAGTTAAAATGGTTTGAATTATTTTTTTTTGGTAAGTGTTTTTTTAGCGAGTTAGTTTTCTGCGGGATGGGGACGCTAACCCCATGCCCAAACCTCCTCCTTTACCCGGGATTGGGACCGGCAGTAACTCTAGAAGAGCTACAGGCGGAGTTATTTCACCACAAAGTCACTGAAATTCTCAGCTTAGATTCACTTCGAATCAATGCAACTGTCTCTAAAATACGAGAAAGAGAGAACTTTGAAGAGAATCGAAACTCGCCATTCAGATGGAAAACACATAATTTCACACGACAAATCAATGTGACAATTAGAAGTCAGAATGGTAGTAGAAGTAGTAGTAGTAGTAGTAGTAGTAGTAGTAGTAGTAGTAGTAGTAGTAGTAGTAGTAGTAGTAGTAGTAGTAGTAGTAGTAGTAGTAGTAGTAGTAGTAGTAGTAGTAGTAGTAGTAGTAGTAGTAGTAGTAGTAGTAGTAGTTGTTGTTGTTGTTGTTGTTGTTGTTGTTGTTGTTGTTGTTGTTGTTGTTGTTGTTGTTGTAATCACTGATGGAGAATATTTATGGCACAAACGAATAATTTGCTTACTGTTGTGTCCCATATGATGAATACTATTATTTTGAAGCATTCATTGTTATTCATTAAAATGTTAACACAGTGTTCATCAAGTGCAAATATCTTCAATGTTCAGAGTACGGATCAGTTCATTTGAGATACGGGAACATTCTGAAATCCATTTTACAACATCACAACACACAAGATGAATCTGGTCTGTCATTCTGGTAAGAATGCTACTCAGTCAACAACACTACATCATTCAATTGAATCTTATGACTCTTGTGAATCTTACCGATGAGAAATTTCGAATAAAATGCTATGATATTATCAAACAAAGTAATCTTGCAACATGGAACATTGATAAGTACATCAAGAGTATAATGAAATGAAGAGTAAGTATGTCGATATAGTGTTCATCAACGAATATCACTACAATGTTTGCTATGGACATTCTCTTGAACAGCTTTGTTTGAAATTGCTTTGTTGAATTATCCTCGGTCTGTTATTCGTTACGCGTTATGTATAGCATATGAGTGTGTGTGTGTGTACATCCAATGTATGTGTATTAAGAGATTTGTGAAGTTGTATCTAACAGACAACACTCGTTATCTACATTTAACTGTCAATTATTTCAATGTCTGTTTGCTTACTTGCTAACTTACGCCTGTCGCCTCTCGTGGTGGAGCATGGGGCACCCATCAGCATTCTCCAACAAACTTTGTGCTAGAAAATCCTTTCCTGTTGTTTCTAATCGCTATTCATTCTTCTGAAGTCTGCTTCCAGTTCTTGATGCAATTTATCCCTTGGTCCCCCACTTTACATCTCCTCTTCAGGGTTCCAAATTGGCGTATTCCTCGTGATGCAGTTTGGTGATCTCCACAATATTTGTTCCATCAACTCCTCACCTGAAAGCTGGTGTATTGGCTTGTAATATGTCAAGCCCACATAACAAACGATCTATCTGGAGTCAGATTTAGGGCTACTAAAATGGTGAGCCCGTTGACGATTAACCTACGCAGCAAAATACGATGATGAAGTACCTTCCGCACTCCATACTTTCGACGAACGAACTCAGCGAAGCCAGCTCAATTGATAAACAAACCAGGTTTTGATCATACTGTCAAGCAAGAGTGATCACGGCACCACTAGATTGATAAGTTTAATTTCGAACTGAAAGCACCCTGCAAATCAACACAGATGGTGAACATCTCGGACTCTACGCGTCCAGTAAACGAATGAAATGGCTGACTTGATCGACGAGCAACTAAAACGACTCAATTTCTAACCTAACGCATCAAACGAATCCAGTACTGCAGCGACATGGACATGCTCAAATCGTATTATCTTATTGACACTGTCCTCGTGTCAATTCTGCCCATTGAACTATTTGGTGGGTCCTTCCATTTTGATAACAATAATTATCATATTTCCTGTATCACATTATTGTCACATCATCACACCGTGAATCATTATTGCTGTTTGTGTTGACATTACATTATGACGTTTGCGCACTCATATCATTCACTGAACAAATTATAATTTTATGAATATTCCATTCACGTTAAGACATTTGAAACTCACTGGACTATTTTCTTTTATTATTCAATAACGCAAAACTTTCCTTCCTTAATTGAGTCCGGTCAATTCTTTTCATGTGATTTCTTCCCTATTTTTACACTCATTTACATAGTCGAGGTCATTTTATGTTATCATACCACACATTTTTCATTTCGTATCATCTCCTATTATGTCCGTGATGCCTTTAATTCCAATAAGCCTTTCGCTAGGATTGATAATCTTTATTTTGTCCTTGATCATTCATCAAATCAATGGCTTAATTATTATCGTTCATTTTTGTGGATATATGGCTATCACATGTCATATATTTCCGACGTCTCTACTAGCTGCTCGTACACAGAACAACCTGCAACCTGTTATGTGAATTGGCGGTCTAGCGACACGCGCATGCACACAAATCATCAGTCTAAGCGGTCGAGTGGACCTCATTCAAGCTGATAACGGTATGCTCGCAACTAATCCAACGCTGGCAACGGTTAGAAACTCTATCATAGATATAAGATTGCAGTCATACTTCCAATAGTAGGAACTTATGTTCTCGAGATGCAACTAATGTTCATTCATCTCACTGGTACGCAGCAGTCGTCGTTTTTCCACTTCTTCAACGACAATCTAATCCGTAATTCTGCCATTTTTCGTTCAGTCGATCATACTTACTTTAATATCTATACACATCAAGTATTCGACGCCTCATTACTAGCCGATTAGTTTCGATTAAGTTCATCTTATCTATTCGTTCACATGTTACATTATCTATTACCCATAAACTTTATTTGACTACTGTAATTAATATTCTATTCCCGCAATAATGCAGTCAGAACATAGAGTTCAGAGCTGGTCTCTCAAAGATATACTCTTGTTCGTCACATTCAAATCAGTCTCACTCGCTGTTGCGCCTTAGTGCGGCTTCTTAGCAAACGGGGTCGAGCCCCTCTCTCCCAAACCACACAAACCACGCTAGACTTCAAGACCAAAAACGAGATACAACTACGCTTATCTCGCCTCCGTAGTCACTATTCTGTTCCTCTGATCATCCATATTTCACTGTTCCTTATCCTTATTTTCAGTCGGCATCACAGATCGATTTGTTATATTCTACCCAACTGATTTCCACGACTTATCTCGCTCTCATACCCATAAACGATTCATAACACTTTTCACGGTATTTTGAATCTCTGATACTATCGCGTTAATTTATCGTTCGGACAATCATGACATAAATGCATGTTAATTTTTTGTACGCTCACTTATTCGCTAGAAATCACATACTAACATTTCATTTTTGTCCGCGTCTTTACGATACTCACGTACTTCGTAAACATAAATCACACTTGCCTATTATACACTCACCTCTCACTTGATACTGTACTTTAGTAGGTATAAAATACATTTTTTCTCTAATTATTGTTAACGTTAACCATATACCACGTCAGTGATATTTTTGAGAGCAGACATTTTGCAAATTAATGTTCTATTTTCTACAGTGGGGTTTGATAGGAGTTGGTACTATGTCAAGCTCACATTGGATATTCTAGATTCTGAACCGATCAGTCTATTCATTCAACTCAAGCCATATTTTTACCCTGTCACTTATTCACTCATCGACCTTGACTGTATTCATGTGAGCGTATGTGTGTGCCTTTCTCATCTTACTCATCACGTGTCTGTAACATATTTTTGTCTGACTATGAATGTCGATTCACGCTTGGTTAAATCGAGTTGGCTCACTCGCCTTCTCCAACGCGCGTCATTTCTCTTCGTTTCTTCGATCGTCAGTCTGGATCAATGATTGTACGAAATATACTTGTTCGAAACCCATTCTCTTATTCGACTTATTCAATCCCTTCATTGACTAACCTGATTTAAGTCGTTGATTGCATACGAGGAAAGCTGACAAGTATGTTTCGATAAGACGCAGCAAACGATCTACCTGGAGTCAGATTATATGGCCACAAAAGTGGTTTGTTCTCTCCTACAGTAGGCTCTTGCTGATGATAAACGGCCAACAGGCATTTGGCATTTTGCGTAGGAAATTGTTGTCTATGTACACACCTGGGTTTGAATCTCGTGGGGTGAGGGATCGTCGATGCGCAATACTGAGGAGTCACATACTAGGATGAAACGGCAGTCCAGTGTTTCCAGGCTTTCCATAGTGGTCTACCTTCAATTGCCTCATGATTTCGACCAGAGGTATTTACACACCTATCAAAATATTAAACGTAACGAAACAAAATCAAATATAGTGCAAACAATTCAACATCTCACCACCACATTCTCAGTACTAACTAAATGTGAGTAGTATGGTGAATTGATGAAAACTTTGTCAATGAATAGACGTCTACGCACTTCCCTGATTCAATGTTAACAGAACAATCCATGGTCCTCCTACACTACAATTAAACAATACACTGTCTCGACAAACAACTGGAAACAGTTCATCTAACCATGCAACTTCAAACCGAAACGAATATTGGAATTGATCTTACGAATCTGTCAAACACGTGAATTTATCATAAAGTCTTCTGAAATATTTATTATAATAATAATCTTATGTTTCATCATCAAATGTTAAGTATTCCACGTTGAATAAGCAACGATGTTATGAGTATGAAAATTGTGTGTAACTGTGACGCACTATCTGGGTGGTTTGGATCGGTCCAGAAGGCTCACATTGACGATGTAGGTTGTGTTACTAGAGATTATGCCACTGCGTAACCCATATGGCGACATCCACATAACAGATAAGTTAATAAATCAAACCACATAATATCTTGCTTCTTCAACGTTACAAACAGATCTTATTATAAATAAGTGCAGTGGATTGTTGCTCCCATATCTCTATATGGCTCTTGATAAATGCACCTACTTTATTCACACAATGCATACGAGGAAAGCTGACAAGTATGTTTCGATAAGAAGCAGCAAACGACCTATTTTCATTCAGCCTTCCGAGAACTCCAGAGGCCCCAAGAGAGCCATATGGTTTTCATCCAATCAGAACATGATGGAGCCTTCTAGAAAATCGACGTGGTATACTACTACTGAACAGTTGCATAACACGCCTCTGTGCGGATTCGCTGAATTATAATGTTGATATATCAAACACTAATATATTTGTAAATATCCATGATTTTCTGTACATTTTTATTCTTGACCAACAAGCACTTCTCCAGTCTTCTTCTGTCTTCTTATTTACGACTGTTGGGCGTTCTATACGTTCGAGTATCGTGGTTGTATGTCGTATTCTACGTTAATCAAGTAGCGAACTTAACAGGAAGACGTAAGAACGAGGAGAATATATGACATAGCTTTATATCACTACCTAGTTGTGGCCAAGATGAAATTGAAGCTAATGAAACGCTGGACAACTTGAGAAACAAAATTACAAAGGTTCAATATAACCTTCTTTGAAGTGAACGGTACCGGGTTCGAGTCCCAGGGTGAACATCAACTCAGATGCAGGTT